TAACAAATTCATTCGGTATAACAAAATATTTCGCCTAACAAAGTTGTACGTAATAAACGCCAAATATTTTAAAAACAAATTATTCTTTTAAAAAAGATAAAAGTATCTACATAGAACAAATAGTCTGTTTCAATTTTTCAAATTGCATACATCATATACGTGTTTTCGTGTATGTACGTAAATATTCGATACTTTCAATAAGAAAAATAAATCTACATGTAAAAAAAAAACTAAAAAGTTAAGCATTAAGATTTTTAAGCTCTTATTTCATATGTCGCATAAGTGTGCACTATAAAGAGCATGTTGTTATTATTAAAGATACAAGTACTGTATTAAGTAACTGGTCACGTATTAATAATACATCAATTATATACAAGTATACACCGAATGTGCACTTACAGTTATGAACAGATAGTAGAGTCTATAAACAACTTGGATGCAGTTGTACTTCCATGCCTAGTTAATTTAAAAAATAGCAATTTAGACCTTTTCCAACTTTATACAGAACATAGTTTAGAACACTGTAAAGAGTTATATATACAAATCATTATGAGCTGAATGCTGACTGAGAGGAAGTTGAGGGCAGGAATAGGTTCTGTGTTAGGTTGGATGTTGGTTTACCTGGGGGTCGGGTGATAACAGGGGAAGGATTGCAAGTTTCCAAACCATAGCGCGACATAAGCGCTAATAATGCACTGCGAACACCAGCTGTAGCCACTTGTGACCATCTTCCAGAACTCATAGCATCATCACCAGCATAAACTGCATGTGCATCAAAATTTCCTGATTGAACTGCATTTGTATCTGCAAAGACAAAATGATAATACATTATTAATATGAAAGAGAAATTGGCGCAATGATACTTACCTAAAGGTGGTGGATTTAGTATAGGAAGATGAGATTCTACTAGTCCACTTGATCTTGAATTTGCAGTAAGTCGAAGTTCAGCATGCAACTCTCCTAGTAACTGTACTACTTTTGGGTCACTCTGTAATTTGAATTATGGTAGCTATGATATTAAATTATAATTATTCAATAATATTATATTACAATGTTAATGATTGTATTATAAAAATAAAGATTAGAAAAATGAAATATTCCTTGTGGTATGCACCTCATTATCTGTTCGAAGCGACATGAGATCTTCAACACGAATTGGTCTTCCCTGATTTAATGCACTTGTGAGAACACTTAATTTTCGAACAAGACTATCTTCTGTGTATAATTCTGGTATATGAGAGCTAGCATCTCCCTTGGGCCGTGGTGTAACGGGTGGCGGACTAACGTAAAAATATGATGGTGATGAGATCATATAAGGTCTGCTAGTATCTCCCTTGGGCCGTGGTGTAACAGGTGGAGGACTAGTGTAATAATATGATGGTGATGAGACCATATAAGGTCTACTTTGGTTGAACAAATTATCTCCCCCATAGTGGGATTCCGTACCAAGACGATTTGGATGAGAATTGTAACCTGCTTCCATTTTTAAACGTTTGGAAGACCTGAAATCAAGTCAAAAATATGTTATAAAAACGATACAAATAAAAATAAAATATTTTAATAAATATGTCTATTCATCAAAATGTTATATTAAAACAAATTTATTGTATAAAAAACACATATATTTTTATACTAAAAACACAAGTAATTAGTGGATATACTTAAGAATAAATATAAAATTCTGGTGTTATAAAATTGTAAAATGTCTTCTGAATAGAGAAATAATACTAATAAAACAATGTTAAATAAAATTTCATATAAATATTATTAAAATGGACAGTAACACATGAATACCCAATAATAACACTTGTTTGATAATTAACAGGAATCATGCAGAAGATAATACATTTTATAAACGTGCATATTGATAAAAGCAAGACTAACAAATCAGTATTTTATATGGATATACATGCAATTTAATAGGCATAGCATATCAAACTTTATTTATATTCTGTAAATTTTATTTTTCACAATTTATTGCATACTTATCACTTATATCTCTATAAGTGAAGAGATATGACAAAACAATTTTATAATGGATCATAAATATTAAGACCATAATGTGACTGTTTAGTTCACTAAATCCTCAACCTTTCTGCACGAAACGATTAAGCTTTTTTATTTTAGTCATAAAGCCCAAGCTCACATGAATTTGTTATATGATACACAAAACCAAGTCTCGTGAATTATTAAACTGGACACCCTGGGTATAAACATATATTATACAGATTTGGAATATTTATTACCTATTTATATTCTTATAAGTGATATAAAATTTGCCCTTTATCATTCAGCCACAATAACATTACTTCCTGAAACATAATTGTTTTTCTTATTAGATATTTTGCCAATTTGTATTCACTTATAATTATTTGTTATTTTATATTTCAAGTATTATGCTGTTTTCTACAAATTCCACAATATAATTTATCATAAACAATATCTATTATACAATGTCTATTCTAGACAGCATTATTATGATATATAACTAGAAATAATATACATAACCAAATGTATGCTATTTACATAAAGTTATATAGCAAAGTAATTTGTAATGTATTAAAATATTCATATACTTATATTGTATGATATATGTTATATATAGTTTGTGTACAGGCATTTTTTTCTATATAATATTTTTGTATTTTGTTATCAGTTACATAATAATTACATATACACACACAATAAGAAAATGGCAAATATTTAAAAATTTGAATTTAATATAAACTTCATTATAAAAGTAACAAACTTTTATAACAAATTTTGTAATATGTGCTACATAGCTTAATATATCAATAATTAAGAATAGTTGTATTAATATAAAATACGATATTATACGGTATTACATACAATTTTCTTTGAGTTTTGCATAAATTATAATTATTAATTCAACAGAATCGATAATTATAAATTCGTCAATAATAAAAAATTTAATTATTACACAATAATTTTATATCCTTGATTACTATAATTAGTATGTTACATACTCTATAACTTTCCACATTATTTTATAAGTGTATTTTGGAAATATTACTTTTTGTTCATTATATATCTTTTTAAACAAGGCAGCTAAAATAGAAAACATTTAATTTATAATTGTATATACAAGAAAATTATTATACATACTGTTTTATATCATATTATATATGATCAATTATCTTTTCTCATTTATTCAAGTTCACTAAATTAATTAAAATATTTATATTATAAAGCACAATTTTTATTTCATTATATTTTGAAGTAGCACATATTATTAATTATTCATATCTTTTTCCTAATGAAGATCACGTAATCCATAATGAAATATTTTTTATTTAAAAGTGAATTACATGAACCTCTGATCTTGTTATCATATAATGCTGTTTGATATTTACAGAGAAGTGAAACTTGAATACTTATTTTATTTCATCTGTAAATGAAATAATTTTTTTATAATATTCGTATATATTATTTATTTTAATATATTTCGCATTAAAGTAACAAACATATTAAATATTCGTGCAAACTGATTGTGGAATAAGTAGAAAGATAACATATACTTTGCATGTCATTTTAAAAGGGTACATAATCATGTACACTGGTATTATCATTCATTCCCAAGGTCCCAGCAGTGTTCATCGTCAGATATGATTTTTTCAAAGGATTATGGTTACTTAGTTTATAAATAAAAATATAGAAACATTGAAAGGGACTAAACAAATTAAACGATAAAATATTTTAATAACATTGGAAACTCATTGTCCATAAATATATTAGGCAAGTGCCTATGGACATTTAGTAAATATTTTATATTACAGTAATTCAATATTATTTTACATTGTGACGATAATACATTAGGTTTGTCTAAATCCCGAATTTCATTATAAGAATGGCATTGATACAAAATACATGCAAAAACATGAAAATATTTAACAAATATCAAAAATTGCCATTCGTATATTGAAACATACGATAACTATCTACAATACAGAATAACAAACTATAACACAGTTGCGAAAATATGATCAATTAAAATATGCCTAATCTATAAATGTGAATGTTCAAATAAACTGAAT